CCGGCCTCTCCTCTGCCCTCCCCGGGGAGTGCAGCCCGCGGCCAGCCCCTTGTGCGTGGTGCTCCTGGATCCCTCTCCGTGCCTGCTGGGGTGGTGGCCGTGGGTCCCTGTCCCCAGCCGAGCCCGGTGGGTGACCCTGTGTCACTCCCACCCTCTTTTTGCAGGGCTGGGGACGGAGAAGCAGCACCAGGGGTGACGGTGCTGGAAGGACCCTCCGGTGCATGCACTGACCTGGAGAGGAGGGGGATCTTCCTCGGGAATGCTGCTGGTTTTGGGACAGCACTGGCTCCTCTGGGCCATTGGTGCTGGAGACCTGGAGTTGGGTAAAAGCTCTGGAGCTGCTTGCCCAGGGGCAGCACAGCCTTGGGGATGTGTGGACAGGGGACAAGCTCCCACCCGGAGTGTTCCTGGCATGGCTGGCAGTGGGACATGGACACTGGCAGTGGGACGTGGACACTGGCAGTGGGACGTGGACACTGGCAGTGGGACGTGGACACTGACAGTGGGATGTGGACACTGACAGTGGGATGTGGACACTGACAGTGGGATGTGGATGCTGGCAGTGGGATATGGATGCTGGCATTGGGATGTGGAGACTGGCAGCTCTGCTCTCTTGAAGAATGAACGGCCCAGTCGCCCTGGGCTCAGCCAGCTTCAGACAGTCCATCTGGAAGGGAGGAGAGCCTCCTGCATGCACAAGCCCTTCCAAGGATTTCCATCCCTGCCCTAGCTGCTGCATTCCAGGGCTGGGTGCGATCCTGGGAGCCAAAGCGATGCCTTAGGCAGAGGAAGGGCTCAGGGGAGTGAGGGGAGCTCTGAGCACAAAGGACTTCCCAAACCAGGGAATTATGACCTCGTCAGGTCTCCTCCAGTTCCTCCCTCTCATTTGGGGCAGGTGTCCCTGTCTGTGCTGCTCGGGGATGGGATGGGAGGTGGATTCTTGTCCCACACGTGCACAGACGTGCCCTGCCCCCCCCACGTGAGTTGGTGTAAATAAGTCACAGTGACTGTACAGGTTTTGTCCTGGTTTGTCTCCCCCTTGCTGTGTGAAATAAACCTGTGAATCTCTGCGATGCCTCCAAGTCCATCCCAAGCAGAGGGGTGCTGTCCATGTGCTCCTGGGGGGCTACCTGAGGCTCAGGGGGTGCATCCCCCTTTCCAGGGGCTGTGCCTGGCAGAGAAAAGCCAGGCCCTAGGCGTGCCATGATGCCAGCCCCCAGCCCTGCCACACGTCCTCACACCCTGAAAGGGCAGGCAGAGCTGACAGAGGTGCCCAGTGCCACCTCCTGGTGCCAGGGAAATCCCAGCTTCTGCACGGGAACCAGGGTGCCACAGGGTCTGCCCTGCCGGGATCCTCCCCTGGTGTGTTTTGCTTTTAACACCCTGCAAGGATGAAATCACTAAATAAAGAGAATAAAAGCAGCTCGTGGCAAGTGTAGCCATTTCAAAGCCTCAGACCCTAGTCTGGTAGCTCTAGTGGTGGCTCTCAGGGGGCTCATTTCTGATCCCAGCAGCTGTCCCCAAGCACAAACAGGTTCTGTGCCCCCCAGCCCCTTTGGCCTCATCCTCCCACGCAGTTTAAAGCAGCCCACGAGGTGTTCTTTACCCCCCTCAAGAGCCCAGTGTCAGTGAGTGACTCCCCAAACAGCAGAGGCAAGGGGGGGCTGGCCCAGGGAATGGGGGCCCAGGGCTCTGCAGGTCCCCCCTGGCAGGACTGGTGGCCTCATCTCTAATCAAGCTAAAGGGGGCTCAGATGGGCTGTAGGTGCTGCTGGGGGGGTGTGAGGGGTTGGTGGGTGCATTGGTGTCACCTGCACTGCATTCCCAGCTTTCACCTCCCTGGGATCCCCCTTCCCTTTATCAGCCGCCGGTGCCGTGGCGGGTCCTTGCTGCTCTCTGGGTGCTGTGTTCTCTGTTTTCTCTGCTGTTTTCTCTGCTGTTTGTCCCACGGGAGCTGGTCAGCGGTGTCAGATCTGCCGTGGGGGATGGACACCTCGCTTCCCTTCTCCCGGCTGCTGTCGGAGGAGCGGCCCGTGGCTGAGCTGTGGGGTAGGGAGCTGTGAGCCCCGGGGTGCGCTGGGGGCACCTGGTGGCAGGAGCGAGTGGGGGGACAGTGGCTGTGCTCTGCAGGCAGCCAGGCTGGGCGTGATTCCCCTTTTCCCTTGGAGTGTCCCCCTGGGAAAGCCTCCCCTTTGTTTCTGTGCGGGGGCAGCCTGTGCACGCCCAGACCGTGCCGTGTCCCCCAGGCTGCCAGCTGGGCACGGGTGCCCGGAGCTGCGTGGTGAAGGAGGGCGATGACTTCTTGGAGCACCTGGTGCTGCTGAGAACGGTGAGATCCGAGCCCTGCTGAGGAGCTGCCGCAGCCCCGGCCGGCGGATCCCTGCCACGGGCTCTCTGCTCGGCCCCGCAGATCTGCCTGGGGGCTGACGCCAGGGACGAGCTGCACGTGGTGGCTGTGGACTCCAAAAACGCCTCCGGGGAGCACAGGCCGGTGCCCATCGCGGCGCTGCGGAGCTCGGTGCTGCCCATGGTAAGGGCAGCCGCTGCCTCTGGGATGACAACATCACCTCGGGCTGGGCTCGGCGGGGGGGATGTCTCTGAGCTCTGTCTCTTTGCAGATCAGCCTCAAAGCTCTGGAGCTGGTCCCTCCCGTCACCTTCGTGCTCCAGTGTGGGGCTGGGCCAGTCTATCTCAGCGGGCAGCGAGTCACTCGTGAGTGTCACCGAGCTGCGGGGTCAGGGTGGGCACGTGGGGTCCCACGGCAGCTTTTGTGGCAGCTCGTGCTCCCTGCTTTGCCCCAGGGTTGCAGGGAGGGCTACTCAGGGGGCAACTGGTGTTTGCTGGCAGTTGTGGGCTGGGCAAGGGGGTCTGTGCCAGTTTCCCTGCTCTGCTGCTGTGGGGTGGGAGGGTGTCCGTGTTGCCACTCCTGGGGTGGGATTTTTCACCCCCCTCGGTGGGTCAGGGCCACCCCTGCTGCAGCCCTGCCTCTTCTCTCCCCAGTGGAAGACGATGCCAGCTCCGAAGCCGAGGAGGAAGAGCTCTTGGAGGAAGACGCAGGAGATGAGGATGATGATGGGGGATCATAGAACAGGGGCAGCTCAGAGAGTTCTGAGTGGAGCTGGTGTGACGGTGGGGACACCCCTTGCCAGGACCTGCCAGTGCCCTGTGCCAAATGCAACAGATCCTTGCAGAGGGACACAAACTGTCTGGGCTTTGAGTGTCATTCCTTGTCTCCTCTCTGGCCCCCTCCATTCCTCCCATGTTTGCAGAAATGCTTTTTTCCCCCCCCTTTTATTGTGATAATAATAGGAAGTGCAGATACCCTGGAGTCAGTCTGGACTGTGCTCTGGTGCTCCCGTGTCACCTGCTCTCCTGTCCCTCCCTCCCTGCCTCCTCTTGGGAAAACCTATTCCACGTGTGCCTCTGTGATGCTGGGCTGGGCAGAGGTCCCAGTGAGTAGCCCCTGGGGAGCTGTGGGCTGCTGCCAGGACAGGGGGCTTGGGGCCTCTCCCAGCTCCAGCATGTCTGGAGGAGGAAGGCTGCACTGTGCTGTGGCTCTGCCTCCTCAGGTAGGACACAATGCCCTGCACAGCCCTGGCACGAGTTATCCTGCCAGCTCCCGGCTAATGGTCCTTTTGTTCCAGGAGGAATCTCTCCAGTGTGCCTGTTGGGATCAACAGGACCCAGTCCTTCGTGGCAGTGCAGGGAAATACAGCTGCTGAAATAATGTCATTAAAACTCCTAATTGAGAAAATTGCCCAAATCCATTCTATGCCTGCCACTAGCTGGCAGGGAGGCTGAGTTCAAGGGGAGCCCTGGACCTGCAGGAGGATGGGCTGGGAAGGGAGCACGTGGCTCTGGGTTTTGATTTTTCCCAACTTGTAATAGAAAATGCCAGAGCTGAGCTGAGGGAGCCAGAGCTGTCACCCCACTCAGCTGTGACCCCTGTGCTGGATCCTGGGCTGTGGGACAGCACAGAGACCCTGTGGGAGCTGGTGGAGCCCCAGCAGCAGGAAGGGTGGGTGCTTTGGGGGGATGCCCTGGTCCCCCTTCCCACAGCCCCTGGCAGCGGCACGTCCACCCCATCCTGCCCGACAGCGTCTCCAGGAGGGCTTTGGCATAACCATGGTAACTGCCAGGTAATTAATGGCCAAGTCTCAATGCCATGGAGACCAAACAGGCACCAACTGAGCGGGTGGGGCTGCACCCCTGCCCACGGAGGCACTGAGCCCCCAGTGCAGGATATGACCCCCCGGCACACGGTGTGGGGCTGGTGCTGTGCCCACCCAGGGCAGGGATGTCACCCCACTGTGAGGGGGGCACGTGGCAGCCACTGTCCTCCAGACGTTCCCAGCCTCACCCCAAAGCCTGAAATGAGCTGGGTGAGACCCTGGGCACAGCTGTTCGTGCCTCCCCCTGCTTGGGGCCGGTCCCCTCAGCTCCCCCAGGCACAGCTCGGCCTCTCCTGCCTTTTTGCACCAGCAAATTCCAATTAATAAATGCAGGAATGCCCTTTTGTGCATAAGTGACCAATTATTTGATGCATGAGCACCCCATCAGCTCACCCATGAGCACCCAATTAATCACGTGAGGGTTAAATAGTGAAACTTGAGCACTCCAATAAATTCCTCGGGTGTCCAGTTGAGCCCCCCGTTATCCAAGCAAAGAAAGGGCAGGAGGAAGCATTTCCCTGAATGCCTTTGAAATATTTACATTTTCCACTGTTTCAACACCCATGCCATGATAGTTAACATAGTGATTGTTTTAATTGCAATAAATTAAAGTAAGTCAAACTCCCTCCAGTTGAGATGGGGGCTGAGGATGTGTCTTGGGGGAGGCTCCTGCGCACAGTAATTTTTTTATGGGGGGAATTTTTCCCTGCTGATGCTTGCCTGGCAAAGTCCCTCCCTGAGCAGAACAAAGAAGAGGGCTGGTTGGTTGTGTCGCTTTGATTCAGCAGCAAACACTTGACCAGAGGGACTTTATTCCGAGTCTGCCTCTGAGTGCGTCTCAGGGATGAAGCAGACAGGGTGTGAGGGAGTCGGTTTGAAAACCCAGTTAATGCAAGTTTGGAGTGTGGAGCTTTTGAGGGGCTGCTGGGACATATAATGAAAGTGTGGCTGGGGCAGCTCTCCATCTGGGGCTTCCAAAATCTGCCACGTGAGCTTCAGTCCTCGTGGATCAGGTACGTGAGGGCTTAAGGGTGAAACAATGTCTGGTACACAGAGAAATAAACAGGGGGGCAAGTCCTGTGCTGGGAGAGAGCCGGAGATAATCTATGGAAATAGCCCAGGAAATGAGAGTTGAAGAGCAGCGGGTGATGAGATGACTCAGTGCAGGAGAGAAGGAGGGGCAGAGGGAGCGGGAGCAGCTGAGGGACGAGGGCTGTATCGGGCAGGGGTCCGGAGGTGAGTGCTGGTGGTGAGGAAGGGTGCTGCCTGTGCTCCCAGCTGTCTGTGGGAAGCAGCCCAGGGTGGCAGGGACCTGTCTCCCAGGGCTGGTCTCATTTCTGCCCCTGGGTTCCCTCCTTGCCCCTATCCCATCTCATCCCCTTCATGGCTGGTGCCACGAAAACCTGGACCTCGCTTTTGGCAGGACCACGACAGGGTCTGTGAAACACCCCGGTGGAGAGTCCCAGCAGCCCCACAGGCTCGGTGCTGCAGGAGAGCCCAGCTCACCTGCTCGGGGCTGGGCGAGCGGCTGCAGGCGCACGAGGCAGCGCAGGAGTCGCAGAGCGCCTTTATTCACTTATCCATTAACGTCCTTTGTCATTTCCAGAAACACTGGGAGCTGTTTTCTGGCTCAGCTGCTGCTTCCCCTTCCCTCCGGCCGGCAGATGCCCCCCGGTGCTGCCGGGCTGGGGCAGGATTGCTGCGGACACTTCGGTTAAAGGGGTGTGGATGAGCCCACATTTTGGTAAGTCCTTCCCTACAGCCTGGGGTCCTGCTGCTTTTCTCCTTTTCCTCTCCTTCCCTGATCTGTGATCGCTGTGACCCCGGGGCTGGCATCCCTCCTGCAGGGCTCCTTGTGGCAATGCTCCTTATCTGAGTCCGGTTTTCCTTTTCCCTCCCCAGGAGCCCATGGGATGAAGCTGCTCTCCTGAGGAGCCTCCCCGGGTGCCAGGCAGGGTCCTGTGCTGTGATGAGGAGCAGGACGTGCCCTGTGGACACCTGAACCCTGCAGCTGTCAGATTTTGGAGTGCTGAGACGGGGGGTTTCTCACCTGCCTGCACACAGAGGGGCTCAGCCGCAGCCATGGAGGGGGACGGGGCCAACGTCACCACCTACGAGCTGGCCCTGCAGAACCGCTCCAACGCCAGCGCCCAGTTCACCGGGGTGCAGCTCATCCAGTCCTTCAAACCCCTCATCATCCCCTGCTACGCCCTGGTCGTCCTCGTCGGCATCTTCGGCAACTACCTGCTCCTCTACGTCATCTGCAGGAGCAAGAAGATGCACAACGTCACCAACTTCTTCATCGGGAACCTGGCGTTCTCCGACATGCTGATGTGTGCCACGTGCGTGCCCTTCACCCTGGCCTACGCCTTCAACCCCCAGGGCTGGGTTTTCGGGAAGTTTTTGTGCTACTTTGTCTTCCTGATGCAGCCCATGACCGTCTACGTCTCCGTCTTCACGCTCACGGCCATCGCAGTTGACAGGTAAGTGCCGGCAGGTGTTTGTCCCCCCTGGTCTCCTCAGGTTGTTGCTCCCTCAGCTCAGGGTGTTTACTGACAAACACTCAAAACTGGAAAAGGAAAATCCCCGAGGATTCCCTGAGAGTATCCCTGCAGCCTTTTCTTTAGCACCAGGACTTGGTCTGGGGGGAGGATGCGCAGGGGGGACGTTTGGCATTAGCAAACAATGCTGTGCAGTTCCGTGTCCCTGTGTGAAGCCGTCACCACTGAAATCCCAATCCGTGCTCCCGGCACAAGGGCTCATTGGAGTTTGCACCCTGGTTTTCCTACTTGGGGTAAATTTGTGCCCAGACCTCCTGCATCCTGGCCCTGTGTTTGTGCCACATGAAGTGTGCTGGGTTGGGGGGTTAATAAAATTTGTGTTTCCATAAAGATCTCCTCTCATCAGAGATGATCCAAATGCTGAGGGGACAGAGGCAATGCCTCTTATGCTGGTTCACCTCTGCCTTGGGGGGAGTGGGGCAGGACCAGGAGGGGAAGGGGAAAAAATAAAAAGAAAAATAATAAAAAAAGAAGGTTTGGGTGGAACAGCAGAGGAAGCCTGGAGCGCTGGTGCAGCCGTGCTGCCCTTGGGGGCTCAGAACATCCCCAGGAGTGCTGGTGTTTTTCTGCTCTTCAGCAGAGCCCAGAGCACCCCAGGGGGATGCTCCGAGGGCTCGGGCTCCCCGTGTGTCTCCCCACAGGTACTATGCCACCCTGCACCCCCTGAGGAGGCGCATCTCTGTCACCAGCTGCATCTCGGTGGTGGGGGGCATCTGGCTGCTGTCCTGCGGGCTGGTGGCCCCCGCCGTGGCCCACACGTACCACGTGGAGTTCCGGCAGGAGGGATTCACCATCTGCGAGGAGTTCTGGGTGGAGAAGGAGACGCAGCGCCTGGCCTACGCCTACAGCACCCTGATCCTCACCTACATCCTGCCGCTCTCCGCCGTGTCCCTCTCCTACCTGTGCATCTCGGTGAGGCTGCGGAACCGGGTGGTGCCCGGACACCCCACGCAGAGCCAGGCCGAGTTCGACCGCCTGAGGAAGAGGAAAACCTTCCGCCTCATCGTGCTGGTGGTGTTGGCCTTCGGCGTCTGCTGGCTCCCCATCCACGTCTTCAACGTCCTCCGGGACATCGACATCCACCTCATCGACAAGCGCCACTTCCTGCTCATCCAGCTGCTGTGCCACTGGTGCGCCATGAGCTCCTCCTGCTGCAACCCCTTCCTCTACGCCTGGCTCCACCACCGCTTCCGCACGGAGCTCCGCAGGATCTTCTCCTGCAAGAGGAGGATCCGCCCTGCCAAGGGCTGCGGGGCTGCTGGTGGAGTGCTCTGAGCCCGGGGTCCCCCTGCCCGGACCCTCCAGGGCGTGTGCCTCATCCCGGGCATGGCAGAGCCTTCCCTGCTGCTGGGAGCAGAGGGGATGGGGTGAGGCAGGAGGAGGGAGCAAAGCTCTGTGCCCAGCCCCTCAGGACCCCTCCTGTCATTATTCTGTGTTAGCGAAAGGAAAGGGCTGTGGGAGCGTGGGAAGGGGGCATTAAACGAGTCCCATGTTTTGGAAATGGCATTTCTCCTGTGAGATTGACTTTTTGGAGCAAACAGGTAAAGGGATGGAGCCAGTGCCAGCACAGGTTGGCCCGCTCAGCCCCACACACTCCTGCATGCACTGGTACCCCACAGCCCCCCTCACCTGGACCCCTGGACACGCACCTGGCTGTGCTCACAGGCACCTCTGCACCCCTGAAACACCCACACCCGGCCCTGTGCAGACACGTGCAGCTCTGCCCCTGCACAAAGCCACACACACACCTGTACCTACACACACCTGCACACACCTGTACATACACACATGCCCATTCATGCACCCCTGTGCTACATGCGCATCCCCTGTACACACCTGTACATTCATGCACCTGTACATGTGACTTTAACATGTCACACACCTGTACATACACACATCCCAGTACATACACCTGTACATCCCTGCGCGCCTGTACCGACACCTGCGCACACCTGTGCACACCTGTACACAAAAATACCTGAGCGCACCTGTAACGTCACATGCATCCCTGCATCCCTGTACCGACACCTGTGCACACCTGCGCACACCTGTACATCCATACACCTGGACACAAAAACACCTGAGCGCACCTTTAACCTCACACACCTGTACACATGCACATCTCTGCATTCCTGTACCGACACCTGCGCACACCTGTACACACCTGTACATCCATACACCTGGACACAAAAATACCTGAGCGCACCTTTAACCTCACACACCTGTACACATGCACATCTCTGCATTCCTGTACCGACACCTGCGCACACCTGTACACACCTGCGCACACCTGCATGACTCGCGCCCCGCCCCTCCCAGTCCCCGCCCACCCCGTACTCTCGCGAGAGGGGCGGGGCGGGCGCACCGGGCGGCTCCGCTCCCTCTCCCGGTCCCGGTCCCATTCCCATCGCACTCCCGGCCCCGCTCCCGCCATGGCGGCCCCGGGCTGGGCGCCCACCCACGCGCGGGTGACGGTGCTGCGGGCGCGGGGGCTGCGCTCCAAGGCGGCGGGCGGCGGCGGCAGCGACGCGTACGCGGTGATGGCGCTGGGCCGCGACAAGTTCCGCACGTCGGTGGCCGAGCGGTGCCGGGGGGAGCCGCTGTGGCGGGAGGAGGCCACGTTCGAGCTGCCGCCGCGGCCCGCGCTCCGCCTCACCGTCCTGCACCGCGCCCTCACCGGCGCAGACAAGTTCCTGGGCCGGGCGGAGGTGGATCTGGCGGCGCTGAGGGACGACGGCGGGCGGCGGCACACCAGGTGGGACGGGGGGGACACCGGGTGGGACGGGGGGGGACACACCGGGTGGGACGGGGGGGGACACCGGGTGGGACGGGGGGGGGGGACACACAGCAGGTGGACGGGGGGGACACCGGGGACGGGGGGACACCGGGTGGGACAGAGGGGGACACACCGGGTGGGACGGGGGGGACACCGGGGGTGGCAGAGGGGGACACCGGGTGGGACGGAGGGGGACACCGGGTGGGACGGGGGGACAACAGGTGGGACGGGGGAGGACACATCAGGTGGGACAGGGGACAGGGGGGACACGGGACGGGGGCGGCACATCAGGTGGGACAAGGTAACACGGGACTGAGCTGGGAAGGGACTGAGGAGGGCATGGGATGGGGGACTCTGGGCACCACAGGGGATGGGGAGAAGGATGGGGGGACCCTCTGTGTCCTACGGAGGCTGGGGAGGGGCCAGGAAGAGGGGGGGCAGGGGCTTCTGTGTTCCACGGGAGCTGGGGAGAGGGATGAAGAGGGGACTCTGTGCCCCACAGGGTCCGGGAAGGAAGTTGAGGGGGCCCTCTCTGCTCCTCGAGGGTCAACCCCAGTTCCCTATGGGATGTCCCAGTTCCTCGTGGAAACCTCTGTACGCTACAGGCATGTGTGGGTCTGGGGGGGAACCCTTATGCCCCATAGGGGACTGGGGTTCTCTTGGGAGACACGCATGCCCCACAGGGACCCCTCAAGCCCCATGAGTGCCCACGGGGTGACCCCTCAGGGCAGGGTCTCCCCCAGTGTGGGTGAGCCCCTGATAGCTCCTGGAAGAGGCAAGGGGCCCCCGGGAAATGTGGCCAGAGCTTTTCCAGGCAGTCCTGCCTGGTCCTTGGGTTTGATTTTTCACTATTTCTGTGTGTGTAGTGACACTGTACACAGGGAACAGCCAGGCTGGCTCCCGAAACCTGGTGTCCTCGGAATGCCGCCTCCCTGCAGCGGGGAACGAGCGCAGGCTCCGCCAGCTCTTTATTTATTTTCCTTAATAAACACTTAGCACATGCCAGGGTGGATATTTCCATGTTCCATGGGCTGCCCTCGCTGCTGTCAGCAGGACACCGAGCCGGGGTCGTTAATGCCCAGCTCCAGCTCTGTGTCACACTCGCTGCTTTGAACATAAACAGTGGGGCGGTGAAATCCAGGGGTGGTGCCTGGGAGGGTTTTGCTGGGAGTCAGCAGCCTTGTAATGTGGCTGGTGAGTCACCTTCCTCCTCTGGCTCACCTGAGCAGGGCCAGGAGCTGCCGCCCCTTGTCAAGGCTTAATTAGGCCGCGGGTTCATTAAGGCTGTGTCAGGCACTGCTGTGTTTACACTGCGGAACCCAGCGTGCCCTCGGTCAGCAGAGCCCGGGGCCAGCGCCTCGGGCCCCCGGCGGGTGCCTTTGTGTCTGTCTGGGCAAAGGAAAATTGAGGGGGAGGAGAAAAGAAAACACAACTTCGGTGCTCCTGGGGAAATTTCCCGATATTTTCTTCGGTTGTTTCCAGCCCTCGTTTCCTGTTTGAAGCCTGTTTTGTCCTGGCTGCCACGGCGATGTGCGGCTGCGAAGGGCTGGTTTTATTTGGAGAATAAATACAGGTGCTCACGAATGTGATAAACGCCATTAATGAGGTTTTTTTGTGGTTCGGGGGTTGTCAGTCCGTGATTTCCTTCCAGTGGGGCTGTGTTTGGTCGGGGCTGAGCTGCCTTTGCTGAACACGTCGTTTGCTCCCGGGCAGGGAGCACATGGGATCAATTGTGGCACCGAAGCCCTGCGAGCACAGGATGCTCCTAGAAACCACGGGTTTGGAACAAAAGTGCCCAGTGCTGGCTCATATTAAAGGCAAAGGGTCTGTGATTCCCAGGCTGCAGCCTCAGGGACTGGGCAAAGCCTCAGTCTCCTGATAAAATCTCTTCCCTTGGTACCTTGTAACTCCAAGCTGGAGCATCTGACTGTAGCTCAAGGGTTCATTTAGAATTATAGAATCACAGAATGGGTTGGGTTGGAAGGGACCTTAAAGCTCACCCTGCCATGGGCAGGGACACCTTCCACTATCCCAGGGTGCTCCGAGCCCCATCCAACCTGGCCTTCCAGGGATGGGGCATCCACAGCTTCTCTGGGCAACCTGTGTCAGGGCCTCACCACCTTCACAGGGAAGAATTTCTTCTGTATATCCCTCTGAAGTGTAGCAGATTCCTGAATCCATCTCCTTCAGTAATCCTCATTACTTTTGAATTTTCTCTGGGGCAAATTGCCTTTTCCTGTTCTCTTTCTTGTTGCTTCCAGTGCACCTTCAGAGGTCGAAGTGCAAATTTGATGGTGAGGCACATTTGCATGCTCTGTTTCCTTCCATAATTTTCCTGTTCCATCTGGTGAGGAGCAAGAAACCAGCGTTTTCCAGGCAGCCTTTCCCGTGGGTTCTGTGGAGTTGGGAATTCTGCGGCTCCAGCAATAGCCAAAACCACAGTGGTGTGCAGTGCTGATAATTCTCCATCCGGGCCCACATGTGGTTTGAGAGTCACTGAGTGGTGGTTGAGGGCGTATGGATGGTGGGATTGTGGTTTGGGATGCCCTGAGCACTCACCCCACGGAGCTTGGCGTTCTGGAGCCAGGTTTTGGGAAGGGATGTGACTCTGTCTGAGCGATGTCCTTCCTGGTGCTCCCTGCTCAGTCACGAGCTGGGGAAGGTGGGTGGAAATCCCCAGCGGTCTGCAGGGCTGGGGTTGGCTCTCTCCTGCTGATTAGAGGTTCCTTGGCTTAAGAGGCATTAGGGAGCTGGAATGAAAGGTATGAGGGTGTGGGACGCATGTGCAGCTCTTGGTGCCTCGTCTCGGCTCCCACTTCAAAGCCTGGACTCTGCGAGTGTCAGGAGGAGATATGAAAGGGCAGAGGAGAGTGGCTGAGCTGAAATACAGGAATTCCATGTTGTGTTTCTGTTTTTCCTCCTTCTTTTTAACCCCTCCTGATCTGGGTTTCAAACCAAACCTTACTAACGACTTTCTGTTTACGATAAGGAATGTTTTCCTTGGCACCTGGGGCTGTGACTGTGACGTCCTCGTAAGATTAAAGGCTTTTCTTTTCCTACACTGGAGGCTGATTTGATTTTTCAAACATAAGCAACCTCTGTGTTCTCAATTACCCGTGCCTTGGGAACTGGTTGGTAGAAGAAGTCTCCTTGTTGCTGCAGGTGGTACAAGCTTCGCTCCAAACCAGGGAAGAAGGAAAAGGAGAGGGGGGAGATCGAGGTGGACATCCAGTTCATGAGGAGCAGCATGACAGCCAGCATGTTTGACCTGTCCATGAAGGACAAGCCTCGCTCTCCCTTTGGGAAGCTCAAAGACAAGCTCAAGGGCAAGAGGAGCAGTGGCCTCTCGGACACGGCGTCGGCGATCGTTCCCAGCACGACCCACTCCCCTGCTGACAGCGAGGACGAGGCGGTCGAGAAGGAAAAGAAGAAATCCAAGTTCAAAGCGCTGTTCTCCAAACCTGGGCTGCAGAAGACCCTGTCCCAGTCCATGTCAGTGCTGCCCACGCAGCAGCCCGTCACCCAGAAGGTTCGGCTTCGGCCCAGCGACTTCCAGCCCCAGTGGGATGAGGAGGAGTCTGAGACCTCTCCGACCTCAGAACGTGAGTATTGGCACTCGCTGCACTGGTGAGCACAAAGCCTTTCTCCAAAGGGTTGTTTACACTTTCCACAGCACTAGTTAAACTCTTCTTTCTGAAAAAATCCATGGAAAGCCCCTCCTGGCACTGAGGTTGTCAGTAGCAAGTGCCAGAGGAAAAGTTTTTCTTGTATCTTGAATTTCTCCCTGTTTGTTTTTTTTTTTCCAGGAGCCCTTGGAAATGCCCTGGAAGAGAAGCCAGCTCCTTCTCCTCTGTTTAAATCTCGTAAAACAGCCCTTTTGGACAGCAGGCAGCTAACCCAAGGAACCAGTAACCACACCAAGAAGGAAGGGCTCTCTTTGTTCAGTGGCCTGAAATCCAAAAGTGATCCCGTTTCCAAGTCTAGCCTGTGTATCAACGGCAGTCACGTTTATATGGAAGAGACCACGACGAAGGACAACACTCCAGCCTCCTCTCCCTCTCCTCTCAACTTCAGGAGGAAGCAGCTCTTCGCTTCAGAGGAGAACCTGTCCTCCAGGTCCAGCAAACCACCTGAAGAGACGGGAAGAACCTCTCCTAGTCAGGCTTTCTCTGGGCCCACGTCCTTGGAGACCTTCAAATCCATGACTCTGCCGTCATACAAACTGCTGAGCAGTGAGGAGCCCCTGGACACCAGCGTTCCCCCGAGCACCGAGGCTGTGAGGGAGCCCAGAAAACCAGACCACAAAAAGTCTGCCTTGCTCTCCCTGGTCACCGGGAAGAAAGAAGTGGGGAAGGTGGGAGATGCTGAGAATATTCCCGACAGGACCCTGCAGAGTGAGGAGAACAAAATTCCAGAAGAGAACAGTGAAGAGGAGGCCAAATGTCTTGAACCCTCAGCAGAGCTGGGCAGAGGGGACCCATCAGGAGACACTCAGAGCACAGAAGACACCTTTGCAAACAAGCAGCCACTCGGCCCTGGTGAGGAGGAACGGAAACCTGAAAAAGCTGCTGCCCCAGCCAAGACCAAAGCTGTGAGGCCCACAGTGAAGCCCAGGTGAGTCCCAGCTGCTGGTGGGAATTGGGATGGGCAGTGGTGGTGGCAGGGTGGTGGTGTGGGCTGTGTCCTGCCACACCTGGGCTCAGGAGCATCTGCGGGATTTACGCTGGCGTTGGGCACTTTGGTGGCCAAAAACTCCCAGGTTCTTTCTGGGTATGAAGATGGATATAGGAATGCTCCTTGTAAGTGATGCCAGAGTAGTGGTTCTCTGAGTGCAGGCACCTGTGTAGGTACTGCAGGGGTGATTTTTCTCACTGGATCTCCTGCAAAAACTAACTCTGCCTGAGCTGTGCGACTGGAACCTCCCTGGGGTCAGAAATGCCTGTTCTAACATCTGTGCTTTCCTCTTCTCTACTTGGCTGTGGTCTTCCAAAGGTTAATCTTGGAGCCCTTCTGCTTTTGGCATCATTCACAGCAACACGAAGGGATTTTGTGTGGGTTTGTACACCAAGGCTTTTTCGGAAATTCTGCTCCTCTATCCTTCATACGCAGATATATATAAATTGTGTGTGTCTGGGGTTTTATATATATCTGTAGGTATGCCCTACTAATAAGGCTGTGGTTTGTGTGTATCCCTAACTCCTCATCTTCAGTGCTTCTCATGTTTAAATTTCTTGCCTATGAAGTGTTTTATGTACTAATAGACCTGCTTGGGGTGCAAAGAGATGGTGCTTAAAGCAACCAAAACAAGCTCTGCAGCAGAAGAGTTCTGACATAAATGACATAAAATCCTTTGTAAAGATGCAGTGAAGGATATAAAGTCTCTCAGACAGGCTCTGAGGTCTCTTGCAAATATAATTCATCCCCAGTGGCAGGAGCTGATGGAGGCTGGTGCTAAAGCTTGTCTGTTCCTGCCTCGTGTTGCATCTGCAAGTGACATGCGAGTTTTTTGTCCCTTTTTGCAGACTGGGCCTGTCTCCAGAGGAGGAACCCAAAGCCACGCTTCCTACTCTTGCACCTGACCCCCTCCCTGCTTTTCTTTCTGTGCACTGTATCAGCAGTGCCAATAATCCTTTTGTTTCTAAAATGGGGCAGAAAGTCCAAGTGCCAGACTCTGAAAACATCACTAGTTCTTCCGCCTCTCTCACTTCTGCTTTTGCTGCAGAGCTTTGGAATGACAAGAACCCCTTTACTCCTGAGTGGGACAGGGCATCCACAGCCCTGGATCCCGACAGGATTGCCCCTTTCCCTTCATCCCATCATCTTCCAGCCTCTGTTCCCAAAGCACCTCTTCCTGGACAGGTTTCTGCCAGGGGTAATAATCCCTTTGCTGCTGACTGGGGGCAGGGTCCTGAGAGCTCTGCTGTGGGGGCTCCCCAGAGTCTCTCTCTCCCTCCCACACCTTCCCTCCCCTCTGGTTGTCACTTCAATGACAATAATCCCTTCGTGTCCAAGCGTGGGGGGAAGGCAGGTGTGCCAGGTTTCCAAACTGTCGCTGGTTCTTCCCCTTCCTGCCTCCCTCGTGGTGAGGACTGTTCCTCAGCAGGTCACCCTGGTCGTGGTGCTTCAGGGGGCTCTGCAGATGTGGCTGTAACTAAAGATGTCACAGCTGTGCCAGACCCTCTTGGCACCTTGTCTGATCCCCCTTCCGCCCCTCCTGGGCTGGCTCAGAAGCAGCACTGCAATTCTCCCCAGCTTCACCCTGAGGATTCTTTGGAAAGCTCTCAGCTGGGCGATGGGAAATCCGTGTCCGTTGTCCTGGGTGGATCGCAGGGTGTTGCAGCAGGTGGTGGAGGTTTGGGTGGGCAGGAAGGTGGAGAGCAGTGCTCTGATTCCACTGGAAGGTTGGGTCCAGGGGCAGCAGGGGGGCGGGCAGGGTTTGGTGATGAGCTGGGAGCAGGGCACTGCCCCTCAGCAGAGCTCTGCAGTGACAGCACAGGTCCCCTTCAGAACAGTGAGCCCACCGTGGAGGTCACTGGTGCAAACGCTGAGCCCTGCACGAGGAGTGACACAGGCTGTGCATCTCTCTCCAAGTCTGGTTACAGCCTCGTGCCAGAGACCAGAGCTGGGAGTGAGCCCGGGGAGGAGCAGGAGGACTGTGCTGGAGAGCGATGGGCAGAGCGTGCACCCCCCTTAGAGCCCCAGGCAGCTCCACTGGCTAAAATCGACTCACTTCCCCAGGTCAGAGCAGCCCTGGGAGCCTGCTCGGTGTCCCCTTGGGAAGCAGATGCAGAGAGGGATGGCAGTGAAGTCCTTGTCCCACCAGAGCCAGCCCCACGGAGGGCTGTGGCACTGAGGAAGGGCCCATTGGTTTCCCAGGCTGAGTTAAAGGGTGATGCTCCTTCTTCAGGTGATGGTGTAAAATCCGTGCCTGGGCTCCTGTTACCTGCTGGTGAAGCCTCAGCTGCTCGTGGGTGCCTCCCCCAAAGTGGCTCCTCTGAGACCGTCCCTCCTCCAGTGACACCTGGAGGTGACAGGCCCTTAAGAAATGAAGGTGACGATGATTTATCTGCCGGTCTCAGGAGTCTCAGGGCTGCCATTCCCGTTCCTGGAGACCGCGGCTCCAAAGTGGCCAGTTTGCCAGTGATCCTGGAGGGAGGCTCCGATGACGAGCTCCTGGGGGACTGCCAGGAGGGCCGTGGGCTCACTGCAGGTGATGAAGGTGTTTCAGGGCCTGGAGAGCAGCCCCGAGGTCTGGCAGCTTTGCATGGAGAGCTCTCTGACAGCTCAGCTGCAGCCCCCATGACTGCCCCCCTGGCTGCTCCGGGAGGAGGAGGAGGAGGAGGAGGAGGTGTTCCTGGTGCTTGTAAGCCTGGCAGATCACCCGTGCTGCCTGCTGGAATGGGTGCTCCCAGGGTCAGTATCCAGGGAGCTGACTCAGGCTTAGGTGTGACGTCTCATTCCGGGGAGTGCAACAGTCATTTTGAGAAACAGGAGCTGGAAACCAGTGCGGGTGTTGAGGAGCCTGCAGAGCGTGACCTCTCTGAGCCTTCTGCTTCCTCTTCCTCCCTTTCAAGTCCTTGCCACCCCTCCTCTTCCTCTCACTCCCTTCTCTCTGACACCCCAAGTCGTAGAGCAGAGTCTCCGAAAAAGCCAACAGCCGAGGGCTTCGCAGATAAAGCGGGAAATTCGGGCAAGAAGAAGCTTCTCCAGGCACGGGTTTCACCCTCTGAAACGTTCCCTAACCAAACCCTGCGGGGTGGTGAAACCGTGTCTCCCAAGCACAGGTGAGACCACGTGGGGGTCACAGCAGGTATCTCTGTGTAGGTGTGAGCTGGGCTTTTGCTTCCAGACCTGTCCCTCCAGCTGCTGGATCTGCTGCTGCTCTTTGCAGTGACTTGGCATCAGGCAGCCCTGACTTCCTCTGGGGCCTGGATTTGTCAGGGCCTGGGTGCTGTGGGGTCGTTGCTGGCTCCAGAAGGATCTGTGCAGCTCCTGAGGGTGCCCAGAGGGGACCAGCCACTCATCAGAGCTCTCAGGAAGACCATTAGGGAAAGTACAGCAGGTGAATAGGGTCATTTCATCCAATTGGGGAAATGGGCTGCAATTGGGCCCTTTTTCAGACGTGGGAGAATGGTCACCCTGATAAACCACAATGCTTCATTTCCTGGCTGAATGGGGCTCCTCAGAGTGATCACAGCAAGTGGTGCAGGTCCTGCTGTGCCCCTGACCTGTCAGCTGTGGGGGCTTCACCTGCCTGGGGTCCAGGACACCTCTGGGCCAGCACTGGCTGAGACAAAAGTAAAATTTGCTTCCTGTGTTAAAAAAACCTGGTGATACAAATCTTGCTCAGGCACATAACGACAGCACTTCTTGGCAGCTCGTGGTGCCAGCTCAGGTTGGGAAAGGCCTAACACGCTTGTCCCAGGGTAGTGGAAGTACTTGATTATGTTGCAAGAACCACAAATCTGTTCTGGTTAGTAAGGTCAGGCTGAAATAGCAGTGCCTGAGATCAGAGAAGCTGCCCTGTGTTCTGCCTCCTCGTCTAGCCCATCCTGGCTTTTCTTCCATGACACACTCGGGATGTATTTCCCTTCCTGCTGCTCCTGCTTTATCTCCAATGCCTTAAGTCAGTAAAGATCATAGAGAACTGGAGAATACCTACAAAATCCCTATAGCTTAGAAATGCCTTGTCTGCTGAAGCTGAACCTCTTCTCTCAGGAGACAGAGAAGGGTAGGAATCTTCCCCCATTTCCTGCTGTATTTGTTTTGAGTCAGGAGATCTGTGTCATGCTGGTGTTACATGTCCTGCCTAAACAACAGAAACCCTTTTTTCCTGTTGCAGACTCCATCCTGTGAAGCCAATGAATGCCATGGCAAACAAGTCTCAGAGTAAGAACCTGAATGTCATCAGCACCATGAACGAAAAACTGCTGGAAATGAGTGTGAAGGTATGGAGGGAAGTGGCACTTTCACTGCTTAAGCTTTGGTTTGATTGAGGAGTTTGTGTAGTCCAGATAATTGGCCTGGGCTCATATCTCGTATCCTGGGCAGAAAAAGAACCCTGGTTATTAGAGCATGTGGGGTGTGACCTTGCCTTTGGTCAGCCCCCAGAGGTGGGGACAGTCTTTAAATATTTATTCTCTTGCAGACTGATCTAGAGTAGAGTTGATCTGAACGGCTGGGAGCATTCCTGGGGCAGCAGGGAAAACCCTGGGCCCTGTTATTGTCTCTGAGGGTATTTTGGGGAACATGAGAAGTTAGAACTGAAATAACAGCAGTGCCTCCTTCTGGTGTGAGGGTGTGAATGAAGTGATTCAAACTGACACACTGCTGTTCTGAGCGAGTTGAAAACTTGTTGTGGTGCTCTTGATTCCTCGTAAATCGTGTGTGAGGCACCATGGGGAGCCCGTTGTGCTCACATTCCCTGCCTGGGCAGTGTTCTGGGAGCTGGAGGAGTTGGCAGGAGCTGCCCAGTACCTGCCAAGTTGCTTGAGCAGTAAAAACAGATTTTTCAGAGAAATAGGAGGAAACACCAAAGGCCTGGAGGGGTGTTTCTTGCTGTTTAAGCTGAATTTGCCTTTCCCAGTCTCTGGTTTGTTTAAGCAACAGCTGTCCCAGTGCTTGTCTGTAAACGATGGTGGTCGGCAGGGCATGGCTGTAACTTCCACACATCCATGACATTCCTTATTCCTCCAGCATAAACTGCAGCAGGGTTGAGTTACAGAACTGACATCATGCAGGGGCTTGATGCTTTTTGGAAGGTGTGGAGCACAGAGCAGCTGTGGCTCTGCCAGTGCCGTTTGTAAACTCCTTTGCTGGTGCTTTGAATTCCCCAGGCCGGTCCCGGGCGTGTTCTGTTGCTGGTTTGGAATGCCCGTGTGTCTGGACTGACCCTGCCTTCCTTCTCTCCCCAAGAAATACGAGCCCTCAGACCCTGCCTACGCCTATGCCCAGCTGACACACGATGAGCTGATCCAGCTGGTGCTGAAGCAGAAGGACACGATCACCAGGAAGGACGTCCAGGTGCGGGAGCTCGAGGACTACATCGACAACCTGCTCGTCAGGGTCATGGAAGAAACCCCCAACATCCTCCGTGTTTCCATGTCTGGGAACAAAAAAGCTGGGAAGATGTGAAGGGTCTGGGCATGCTGGAGAAGAAGGGCCGAGTTCCCGCCGGAGGAGCGTGAGGAGCCGGTGTGGAGCTGCTGGTGCCGGTCGTGCCGCCCCTGGAAAATGACCTTTTTCCTGTTTCTGCCTTGAGCAACTCTCGGGTTGATTAGTAGTTCCATCAGCTCTTGTAATGGAGTCACCTTATCATATTTATTACTTGTTTTCTTCCCATTATCTGGGAAGATCAGGCATTAATCCAAAGGCTGGTAGTGATGGAAGGGAGGAGGGTTTTTGATGTGTTTTGCTTCCCAGCAAGGCACTGATGATCCTTTAGGAAGATTGGTTTTTTTAAGGGTTTTGTTTTGTAGCATCTCTGATAGATCAGTTACTCTTCTTTCCATATCTGAAGTTGTAGTGCAATATGGAGCCTTGTACAGTAGAGCTTGAAGATTTGATTGTTTTTAAAATAATAATTAACTACACTGGAGAAGTCCAAAGATGTCCCAGCTTCAGACCTGGGCTGTAATTTAAAAGGAATTAATGCCCTGAAAGTTGAACCTAAGTTAAAAGATTGGAAAGGAAGAAGCAAATCTCGATTCAAGTGGATGTTGTTCCAAAGAGTTCTCCAAGGGGAGTTTTGCAGGTTTTTTGGTGTAGGAGACGTTGATGTTCACGGTACATCTCTACCATAGGAATGGCAGCAATGGATTTGGACCAAAGGTACCTTGCTGCTCAGAGGGGGAGGAATCCTGTGGAGCTGAGGGGTGGTGGTTTTGCTGGACAATCAGTGGAGACAGTGCTGTTCTCCTCCCCACCCCACAGCAGGAGCAGCTCGGTGCTGCTGAGCAGCCACCACAACCTCTTCCTCCTCCTCCTTCTCCTCTGAAAACTAAATGTGACTTTTTTTTTTTTTTTTTTAAGCGAGCTCTTGTCAAAGATCAAAAAAAGAAAAGAAAGATCAGATGCCTCTTTGCACCTCTGGGATTTACCAGGGCTGGGAGAGTCCCTAAAGGGCTTAGAAGGAAGTTGGAATACAGAGTGGGGAGCAGAGGACCAAAGCTTCATGAGGACCAAAGCTTAAAGCTTTCCAACCTTAATTCTGTGGAAGTAAACACTCCCACCTTTGGAAGTTGTTGGGTTATTTGCTCTCACCCCTGGCTCAGGGGTGAGTTTCTAACTCACTTTTTCTACAGCAAAGCACTTTATTGAGGGACTGGACCAGCTGGCTGGACTCTCACCCTGTGAGCAGTCTGCCTACAATTGTCAGAAACCACTGGAAACCACTGGAGATCTCAAATACTGTATTTTTGTAGCAAAGAGCAGTTTAATATATTTGCCTGGAGATGTAAACATTTATTAGGAAAATCAAAAAATGCTGTTAATGACTTTTTTATTCCTCTAAACTGACCTACTACCAAAGTCTGGAGCTTCTCTGGCAGAGCTGCCCCTTAGGGGGAGCTCGACCTGAAACAAGCCTTAAGTTCAAGAGTCTTCCAAGACTTCAGGTACTTCTTTTTCCTCATTTTAGTGTTATTTGAGCAGTGTCTGCAGCGAGGGGGGTTCTCTCTGTTCTCTGGTACCCTCTGCTGTGAATGAAGGGTCCCAAATGCAGGCGGGGGTGGTTTAATCCTGAGTGGTGCTGGTTGGCCTTGCTGAAACTGCTGCTGCTTCTTGTGCCTTCTCGAGGGAGGAAGATGAAGGATTGATTTGTTTCCTCCTTGTGCCTCGGTGGATCTCTGGAAAAGAGGATCCTGTACCTCACTGACAGATTTGGATTTTAGACTTTTATTCCTCATCTTTTCTGATCTGGGTCACAAAGGAGAGCCGTTTGTGCCTTGGACCTTGTTTTTATTGACAACACTTCTTAAAAGCTTCCTTTGGTGTGCGGGGACTGGCATTTTATTTCCTTTAAGGGCCTTAAGAATCAAATATATTGTTTTATTATTATTGAAGGATCTGAATGTATTCCCCCCCGTTTGTACTCTCTGCTTTTTAGCCCAGGTACTGTTTTGTTTTTAAACACCTTTTTGGTTTTCATGGAACACTAAAAATAAAAAACACCTTAAACCCACCGTTCCGGGTACCTGTTCCCAGCTGTTGTCTTTAAGCATTATAAACACATTATGAAAAGAGCAGATTCAGAAGGGCCTCGTCCTCCCCTTGTGACCGGCTCTGCTCATCCTCCAGGTATTTCGGGGCAGGTTTCGTTCCGTGCAGGAAGAAGCTCCTGGCAAACAGGGTGGGGAAACCTGATGGACGGGCTCGCCCGCACCTGCAGGGCCGAGAGTTCCTGCAGAGCAGAACCAAATGACCGCGTGAGAGGTGAGATGTCCCCGCTCCCCGGCGGCAACAACGGCCCCGGATTGCGGCGGGGCTGGAAGGAGCGGGAATTGAGGAAATCAGCCTCCCGCTGCCCGGGCGGCCGCTTAGAGCCTCAACCCGCAGCCCTGAGCGCTGTTATCGCCCCGAGCGTCCCGCGGGGAAGGCGCGGATGGTCCGTCCGAGCATCCCGGAGCCGCCGCCGCCTCTTCCTGCCCCGCGGGCGGCGGAACGCGCGGCGCCGGAACGCGGCCGGGCGGGCGGGGGGGGAACGGACCGCGGGCGGCGCCGCTATTGGTGGGTTGCGGCCGGGCCGCGCCGCCATTGGCTGTTGGCGGCGCTCCCCCCGTCGCGGTCCGGCGGCGGCCATGGCGGCCATGGCGGCGCGGGGCCGCTGCCCCGAGTGCGGCTCGGCCGCGCTGGTGGAGGACGCGCTGTACGCGCAGCAGCAGCTGGTCTGCGCCGCCTGCGGCTGCGTCCTGGCCGAGGGGCTGCTCACCACCACCTACAGCGACGAGGAGCATCTGCGGGGTGCGGAGCGCGCTGGGGCCCCGCTGACCCTCTCCCCGGGCTGTGTGTCGGTGTCTCTCCCCACCCCTGTCCCTCCCGGCGGTCTCCCGGTGTCCGCGGGGCCGTGCCGGGTCGCACCGGCCGCTCTCCCTCCTCCCTCCATCGCCCACAGCATTTCCCTGCCGGGGTTTGGGCTGGGAGCCGCTGATGAGCCGCTCCTGGGCGTTTAAATCTCTTATAAGGGATTTACGGTGTTGATTCCTTATTATTAATGAAAAAGGCTGTCGAAATCTCGTTTAAATGTCTTAGAAGAGCTTTAAGTGCAGTGGGCCGTTGGCTGGGTCAGTGTGTGGAGAATCCCCGGCCCTGGGGCGATCCCACCCCTCTCACCTGAGCTGCTCTGTCCCTTCTGATCGTTGGAATCCAGCCCCTGGTTGCCCCAAATCCCAACGACACTGTCCCCCTGGGATCACTGCAGGGCTGTCTGACCTAACCCTGTTTTCCAGAGGTGGCCTATTCCCAGAGCACTGGGCAGAAGGAGCAGCTGAGCCGCTGCCTGCAGCGAGGTAAGAGCGTTTCTCCCCCACCCCGAGCCTCCCTGGCTGCTGCTCCAGTTTTTTCGGTGTGTTTATAATGCTTAAAAAAAATGGTGAGACCCTTTGGAGCTGGTGGCAAAGCCTGGATGAGGCAGCTGGTGCTGCACCCAGCCAGCACTGAGGGATGGGGAGGTGCAGGAACCCGGCTGCTCTGGCACCCGTGCCCGGGCTGGGTGAGCTCTGCCTGCTCCAGAATCCTGAGGAGAAGCTGCCCAATCCCACCTCTGAGGGCAGCGTCTCCCCACAGGGATCCGGCGGGTCCAAGACCTGTGCAAAGTCCTGCAGCTCCCGGCGGTGTTCGAGGAGACGGCCGTGTCCTACTTCCAGAGGGCCCTCCAGCTCCCTGCCTTCCACCTGGTCAGCCTGGAGAAGAAGGAGCTGCTGGGGGGCTGCTGCGTGTTCGTGACGTGCCGCCAGCACAACTGGCCCCTGACCATGGGCACCATCTGCTCCCTCCTCTACGCCAAGCAGGAGCTGTTTGCCGGCGTCTTCCTGAGCCTGCAGAAGGAGCTGGGGCTCTCTGTGCCCGCCCTGAGCCTGGCAGACCTGGTGAAGACACACCTGAGCAGGTAATGGGGCCCCTTCCAGGGGGCACAGATGGGGTGAGCTGTGTGACACAGGGGTGTGGCTTTTGTGCCTCCCTTGTCACACCTGGGCTGGGATTTTTTCATCTCCTCAGTTTGGAGAGGGCAGGGAGGTGCTCAGGGGGGTACCACGAGTTCCAGAATCATGGAATCATTGAGGTTGGAAAAGACCTCCAGGGTCATCAAGTCCAACCTGTGCCCCATCCCCACCTTGTCCCTGCCACGTCCAGTCCTTCCTTGGATGCCTCCAGGGATGGGGACTCCACCACCTCCCTGGGCAGCCCCTTCCAATGTTTTAACAACTCTTCCCATGAAGAAATCCCTCCTGGTGTCCACGGGCAGCAGCCCCTGGCAGGGGCAGGGTGTGTTTGTCCCAGAGGGCCTCCCTGCAGCCACATCTCCCAGGTGACCGAGGCTTCCCTGCTCCCACAGCTTCCGGCTGTTCCAGCCCTCGGCCGAGGTCCCTGCCCCGTTCCTGGAGGACAAGGAGAAGCTGGTGGCCCGGACCATGGGGATTGTGGAGCTGGCCAGCGAGACGTGGCTGGTGACGGGCCGGCACCCCGTGCCCGTGGTCACGGCCGCGGCGTTCCTGGCGTGGCAGTCGCTGCAGCCCCGCGCCCGCCTCTCCTGCCCCCTGGCAAGGTTCTGCAGGGTGGCAGGGGTGGATCTGCCTCCCCCTGCCCACCTGAGGCTGAAGGAGCTGCTGGAGATCCTGCTGGGAATGGCCTCCCAGCTCGCCTGGCTGCGCGGCTTCCGCCTGGACAAGAAGACGGTGGTGAAGCACGTGGGGGACCTGCTGCAGCACCGGGTGTTCCTGCTGAAAAACGCCTTCTGCCAGGAGGGTGGGGAGGAGCAGCAGCGTGGTGTGGCCTCAGGCCAGGGCTCCACAGGCCAGGGATCGCCAGGTGAGGGCACTCCAGGCCAGCACTCCCTGGATAAGGACACTCCAGGCCAGGACTCCCTGGAAAAGGGCTCCCCAGGCCAGGACTCCATGGATAAGGGCTCCTCAGGCCAGCACTCCCTGGATAAGGGCTCCCCAGGCCAGGACTCCCTGGAAAAGGGCGCCCCAGGCCAGGACTCCCTGGATAAGGGCTCCTCAGGCCAGGACTCCCTGGATAAGGACGCCCCAGACCAGGACTCCACAGGCCAGGACTCGCTGGGCCAGGGCTCTCCCAACTC